TATATCTTTATTTCTATCGACATGTACGTGAAGTATGTATGTACATATATATCCGTTTTTCCGCGATCATTCTCTGCCGTTTCCGGTACTTCTATACCCTCCGATTGCCTTTCCCCCCCCTCTCTCTCTCTCTCACTCATACACACACACACACACTCTCTCTCTCTCTCTCTCATTTTCTTTCTCGCTCGCTCGCACGCAGTAGGACTTACTAAAGGATTAAAAATCGTAATGGGTAATCTAGTAAACACTAAGGACGATAATAGCGTTTTTTTTAAATATACCTCTCTCCTTTCTGCGGCTGTGTGCTATGTTTCTTTAATTACCATGTAATTACGTTATAGCGTTCCATTAGGCGTTACACATTAATAGAAAGATAAATTCATTAGTGTCGTATTTCCTGTAGTAAAATATATAAACGGTAATGTAACATGAGCGTGTTGTGTTGTCCTCCGATGCCTTTCGCAAGAGATATATGTATATATATATATGTATAGTACATAGTTACGTATCAACCCTGGACCTTAAAGCGCTTAGTAAAAAATCAGGGGGCCGTCTCGACTAAGGAACGAAAGACAATTGTCACGAGAGAAACGATATTGTTAAATCGACGTATCGGGATATCTCTTGAGAGGGCGAAGAACTCGGCTCCTTCGGGCTTCCGCTCTTCGATTCGCAGGAGCCGAGGCGAAGGATCAATCGCGCAGACGCGAACATCGAAGTTTGTATTTTAAGAAGAACCGATATGTCATTTTGCAAGTTAGATCCGAATCTTCTCATGACAATTCTCTTATCTGATATTCCCTCGTATCGCAAAATTTGAAAATAGACGCCAGATTTGTTTTAAGATACTCTTTGTCGCCCGATGAAAAATCATCAAGAGGACAAAACGGGCAGCCCTTCTACTCCGCTTTGTCATGCCTTTCGCGCGTCGTTGTGGATACTGTGAATGTACGTGCCGTGCGTACGCGTTTTCCCGCTTTGATCCTTCCCCTCGCTCGGGTCTCAATCAATTTCATTGACGGAAATTCATCTTCATCGATGAACGATGAAGATGCATCTGCGTGGCTCAGAACGTTTTCCGAACGTTACGATGCTGAACGTATCGACGCCTCTTCGCTCTTACGACGATAATGAATCGCATTATGCAGCCTGAAAGATCGCGGCACGGTCTTCCGGTTATTATGTATTCGACAAAATGTCCACCCCACGCCCCATATATATATACATAAATATTTATATGCATATACATATATCTGTATATATGTATATAAATATAATTCCATATACCAATTTTTTTTTATATCGGTTTCAATTTTCATTCGACTCGACGTACGAGTTACTGAAATGCTGCCGACATGGAAGAAGAAAAAAAATCATTCGACTCACATTTCCCGTACTCGTTTACCCTTTTAAATTCCTCTTCTCCGCGCTAATATATTAAATTTTGATTTAATGCACAAATCTATAATAAACAAATCGACGTTGATCAACCGCAAGCTCGTCGAGATTTATTCCCGAGACGCATGTAAAACGCATGTATCGCGCGAATCTGTACATTATTATTTTTTGCCAGACGTAATTGTATTCGACGTTTTACACAAGGTGCAATTAACGCTCGTTCATCGCCGTGTAATCAACGTAATCAACGTGATAATGGCAACTAATTCAGAGACTTAACGTAGACACGGTTAATTATTTCAACAAGTTGGCACCTGTTCTGGCCATCCGCGTGAATTTCCCTTTCGCAATTAGGCGCACGTTTAAACCTACATAAATATATAATGGTTAATAACGAAACGCGCTCCCGACACGCAAAATGCAGTATTCTAAATTTCCAATTCACAGGACGAAGGCACGCGCGCGCGCGCGCACGATAGACGGATGATTTTTTCCACACATTTCTTTTTTAACGGTTATACACATATAAATCATACACATATAAATCACATATAAAAAAAACAACGCAATACTCAACAAAAATTTAAACAACATATTAATGCTAAAAGTGTACGCTGATCTTTGATTTTTGTAATTCCGATTACTATCAGCCTCGCTTTTTTTTTACTACTACCACGCTTCTGGATACTTACGCGGGCTGCCAGTTGCGATTTGTAGTTGTAATCCTATCATTAAGTATCCTCCAATCGCTACATTTTTTACTCTCTTTTTTTTACTTTAGCGATACCGCGACGTTAACTTTTGATTGGCCCGGCACCGAAACAACGGGTGAGAACATAAAAATAAAAATCATTTACAAGAGGTTCAAGTCGAAACTGTGAAACAAGTCACCACACAAATCGATATTTGTTACATATAAAACAAACACTCGCTCGAAAGAAAGGAATAGCCTTACTTAAAAAAAAAGAAGAAAAAGAAAAGCGCCTGTATGCGTTGTTCGCGAATTCGTTCACGTCGCCATTTAAGTAAAAGCGGACGAGTGGAAAGCGACGAGGAGGAAAGCGGAATGAGAGCTTGCTGTCTTTTATAGATAACAGAAGGCTTAATTCCGCCGACGGTCGATTAATCTCTGGCTCATCTCTGGATAGATTAATTTGTCGATCGATGAGCACCGCGCGTGACGCGAAGGGGGGAGAGACGGAGCGTTCGACTTCCACTTAAGAATATTATTAAAGCTCGAATTTGTGTGTGCGTGCGTGTGTGTGTGTGTGTAGGGGAGGCGCACGACGCGAAGAGATGAGTCGAGTGGATATTTTCTCAACGCGAAGCACGTCGAACCGGTTAATGTCGGTGTAACAAGTATTTTTTCTTCTGTTCGTCTGAAATTGCAATACGGTAAAAAAAAAAGAACAGCTCTCGATAGGTCTCGACGATCACAAGATCGTGTAACTAGAATACGATCGAACCCGAAATTTAGATTTATGTATCTCTCTCTCACTCTCTCTCTCTCTCTCTCTCTCTTATCTTTCCAATAACTTTATTATACTTCAAACGTGTACAATATCTGACTATATATAACAATAACATTTTTATATTATATATCCATCAATCTTTCTTACCCTAAGAACGATTGCACAATATCCTACGTACGTATAGGATTTCGTCAAGATTTAGAATTGGACCGAGTGAGAATCCGCTGCGACACGGCGTGTCGAGCGGATCTCCAACAGCGATTCGGCGAACATTCGACTCGATCGACAGACAATCAAGCTCCGTGTGTGCCAGGACTGGAGACCCCGTGATCAGAGACTGGCCACGAGAGTTCGTCAAATTCTTTTCTACGATCGTGGAATCGTAGAAGAGTGAGGTAGCCTATGTTTCTCTCTCACTCGCGGGAATTTGGCCAACTCTTATGGCCAGTCTCCGATTACAGGGTCTCCAGCCAGGACGACGCTCTCCTCCCCAGAAGCTTTCCGCGTTTGCGGAAATTCGTCGCGCTAAGATCGAGCGTCCGCGCTCCGAGAGGTCTACGAGATCCGCGGGACACGCGAGAGGCGTCTGGGAGGCTGGAGCCGGGGACAGGCGGAGGGACAGAGGCGGTGGTAGCAGAGCGATAGGCGATAGGCTGGCAATAGAGGCACTCCGGCCGCGCCGGCGGCTGGATCTCCTTAGCATTAACACGCGATATACCTGAAAAACCAGTTTGCGGGCTTTTTATTAGGCCTTTACTTTCGCTCGCGAACTGAAAGTAAGAGTGAGCGAGCGAGCGAGGCAAACGAGGCCTGTTAGCGAGCGAGCTAACTAATGGGGTCACCAGTCGATACGGATACGCACGTAACGGAGACAGACAGATAGACAGACACAGACAGACAGACACACACAGATACACAGACACACACACACACACACACACACACACACGCACGCGCGCGCGCGCGCGCGCGCACGCACACACGCAATCCGTTCGCACACGAGACGCGTACGCGCGAATCTACACGGAGAAAGAGATAAGGAAAAGAGGAGAAGATAGATAAGCGCGTGTAGAAGTTCGCGCACACGGGAGACCCACGTTCGCCGCTGCCTCCGCGTATGTATAACGCGCGTATACACACGCGGATGCACGCGCGAGCGCGTGGCACTGAATGTTTACAATGTCTAATAAAGAAAATGCGGGCTCAGTCGCCGCCACGAGAGAGAATGAGAGAAAGAGAGAGAGACTGCGGGTCCGCGTTACGTCGTCAGCCGATCAGCCGTGATGCGAGATATCACCCCCTTTGTTCGACACGAGTCGCGACTCGCGCGTTCCGCTCAACGTGCACAGAGAGGGAGAGGTAGATTTTTTTTTTACATTCCCTCGTCCTCTCGCCCTCACTTCCCATCTCGTCCTGTTTCTCCTTCGGTCTCTCGGTTTCTCGCTCGCGCCCCTAAATTGCCGATCTTCGCCCTTTACCCTTCATCTCCTGCGAACGTGCGCGCGCCGCGAGCTTCAGGCTGCAGAAACGTCACCGGTCGAGACGAATGTTTGGGACCGACGATTATTTTCTCCGCACGCGGGACGTCACCCCGACGACCGCAGTTTTTTTTCCAACGCAGTAAACAGCGCGCGAGTAAATAAAGGGGAGAAGAAAAAGAACGTGATAGATGCGGTGGTGGATAGATGCGGGAGTGGACCAAAGTCTTGGCTGGTTTTTCGGGCGAGCCACGGCGCGATATGCGGTTGGTCGAGACAATGGCACTGGATGGACAGCGCGTGTACCGAAACGTATCGACAATGTTCCGACAACGTTCGACCTTGTCCCCTATTTTGCGAGTCGTTTTTGCAAACATTTCGAAAAAAAAGAAGAAAACTTCGAATCTCTGATCCTCGACATATCTCGCCGTGCAGCTCGAATTATGGCGAGGGTTTTCCCTCTCGTGACGCGGAGTTTATATCCCGGCCCTTGTAGGGGGGAGAGGTCTAATCATTCCCCGTTAAAAAGCGATTGCAGCCGCAATTTCCTTCTTAGGCCGGTATTCATAGTCGATTCTCATTTCAAAATCATCTTAAGTATCGTCTTAAGACGCTAATACAGCTCTGTGATTGGTTGAAAACACATTAAGAGTATACTTAAGATGATCTTAAATATAAGAACGGACTATGAATACCGGCCTTAGCACCGTGTCCTGCGTTTCTTCGGCACACGGCGTTGGTATTTGTCGCCCGAGAAAAGCACGGTCGGGGTCGGACGCGTCCGGTGTACGTGTTACGGATATATGCGAGTGCATGCGCCTGCGTATATTATATATATATATTTTTAATAAATATATATATGTATATAATATATATGTATATATATGTATGTGTTCATTTGTATATTTGTATTGTATTTTCGCTCGCTCGCGTAAAGAAACGCTGCTCGGAAGCGTATCCCTCTTCGCGCGCACGTTGCCCGCGCTTCTTCTTTCCCTCTCCGACGCGTCGTCCGTTCCGCCCCGCTAACATCATATCTTCCCGAATTAAATCTTATCACGTTATACACAGTATCTAAATGAAATGTGTTCACAGCCACACATTAATTATTTATACATAAATTTATACATATATCTGTATATACTTGAATATATATATATACATACATATATTTTTAATTTATATGTATGTATATATATATATCTTTCCGTAGCCCGCAACGTGTTTCCTCCCTCACCAAAAATACTCCTTTCCATTCCTTTCCTCTCTCTCATTCTCTCCCCCCCCCTCCTCTCTCCCCCTGCTGTCCGGCATGCGATCGACTCCGCGAGAGAAGCGGAAGGAGGCAAACGAAAAATCGAAACAGGGGGATTGCGCCTCGCCCGAGCCGTCTATTCACTTGACCACTCTCTTCCCAGTTTGTACCAAGTTCCGCCGTGGTGTATTCCGCGTCCACCTTCGACTCTGTTCCTTTTCTTCGTTTCCGCTTCCTCCCTAACGCGACCTCGTCCAGGACTCGCTGTACGCAACGTCGACGTCCGTTCCGCCGATAAACGCTCGTTCCGGGACGATGCCGGCGTCTGTTCCCCGAAAATGTTGTGTTTAGTCAATAAAAGCGACACTCGTTCCACTAATCTAAAGACCGTTTTGCCCCTCTACTGCGGTTTCACGTCCGTCCTTTTGTTACAACTCATCAGAGGAACGTCTTTTCCATCGTATCTCCCTAATCTTCTCCGACTCCTGTTTTTTTCATTTTTGTTTTTTAGGCACAACACATCGTTTCTGGAGTCTTTATAGTCTTTTGGTTGCCTCACACCGCAACTGTAGCCGTGTACCAGCGTTCGGTCCTAACTTGGCTGCAGCGACCGCCACCGAGTTTATGTTTACGAATGCCTAGAAAGAGCAGCACTCGCGACGGAAGGCCGCGGAGAGATCGGTGATGAGAATGCTCCGCGCGCCCATACTTGCCTACTCGCTTCTCACATCATCGACGATATCATACGTTCGTCGTCCGAGCATGCCGCTTTTTCGGTCCATGATTTTATTGTTACCGCGTTTCCCGATCATCCTCTATGCCGAAGGGATGACTTATTTCGCATACCGCTCCCGTATCCAAGCTCGCATCACCCGGATGAACGTCAACTAAGGAGTTTAGATTCCTTGACGTTGGACACGGAATGATCAATGTCTACCTCCACGTTCTTGGGTACCTCACAAGGGCCGCAGGCGCAACAAAAGTCTCCGGGGTTTTCCAGAGGGCAATAGAGGCCGTAAGAGCAGAAGTAACAGAATCCGCATTCGTATCTCTGATACCAGTGATTGTAAGAATCGATGCGACTGAGTCGGTTAAAGCAGCAACAATCAGCGACCGCGGTAGTGGTGGTGGTAGTGGTGGCGGTGGTGGTGGTGGTGGTATCGGTGGTAGCGGTGGCGACGTCTACGGATACGACGTTATCGCCGATATCGTCGCATCACGAGGAGCACGCCATCCAGTTGCAGGTGCACGTGTAGCACGCCGTCGTGGGTATCACGGGCGCGTAGTAATAGCCGTTGGCATAGACGTAGGTGGCTGGCGGACCTTGCGGCGCCTGTTGATGACTCGTCAACCGCTGCTGCTGCTCCTGGCAGAGCACTTGGTAGGCAAGGTTCTGGATCAGGGCGAGTGTCTGCCGTCGCTCGTGGCCCATCAGGCATACGGTAGACTCCTCGACGACGCTGTGAAGCAGCATCAGGTACTGATACTTGAGGGCCTCCTCCTCGGGCCCGACGAAGTGATTCCACAGATAATTCTCAAGTTTGGATCGTTGCTGCCCTATGTCCGGGAAATCGATGAAGAATCTCGAACACATGTATCGCTCGAGGGTCTTGATGTAATCCGGTTGAGACGGTTTGTACATTTTCACCAGTAGGTTGCAGTATTTGAGCAGCCCGCCGCCGCGTATCTCCTCGGGATGCCTCGTCGAGATGAGCTTCTTGTGCAGATGATAGAGCGCTTCCTGGAAATCACCGTAGACGGACTCGCCCACTACGGTCGGATAGAAATTCTCGGCGATCGGTAGCTTGCTGCACTCATAGAACAGCAGCAGGGAGTCGAGAACAATTTGGAAGGAGTCGACGGAGAACTCGAATTGCCGTCTCATCGAATCAACGAACTTGAGCTCGACATTCCGATGGCCCCGGGAGTTGCCGAGGGAGATCAAGGACCATCGGTCGCCGTCGTTGTTCACCTTCACCATTTTGCTCACGTAGGCCTCCTTCAGACTACAGGTGGTGATGCGTTTGCGGCTCACGCCCTCCGGCAACAAGTCGAACAGAGAGCCGAGCACCGCGGCCTTGACCTTGTCGTAGTTACGGCCGCTGGATAGTTCAACCGCGAAGATAAGGTCCAGGTCGTTGTAGGGCTGAGACTCGGTGGCTAACACGTGGGAAGCGGCGCCGCCGTTCAGCCGGATGTCGCGTACCCTCATGCCGGCGCCCCCGTTGCTCGGATCGGTCTCTAACTTACTGCGCACCACCGTCACGAGATCCCTCAGCCGAACCTCCAAGGTGGGGAAGTTTCCTCGACCGTGAATGCTGACCACTTCGTTCATCACGTCGTTGAGGCGGCGGACCTGCTCAAAGCTCAGCACCGCCAACCTCTGCTGAGGATCCGGACAATCGGTGGCATTGTTGGTGCTACTGTTATTGTTGTGAGTGTTGTTGTTATTGTTGTGGTGATTGTTGTTGTTGTTCGTGGTGTTATTGTTGGTTTCGTTGCTAAGATCTCCATTGCCAATGCCGTTGGTCTTACTGCCGTTCACCTGGCAGAGCGACTCCATCATAGCAACCCGACGCTGGCGTTCCTCGCCGATCTCCAGAGAGCCACACTGCAACAATCAACAAAGGACGAGACTTTTATGCGATTCTCTCTTACAAGCGATATTGAATTGCATACAACGAACATTATAAATGATCATATTTTATTTGCTTAATTACAGATTATTCGATAAGAATGTAACCGAGACTTTCTCTTTTTCGCGAGGGATTTCGTATCAGTTACGTGAGAGACATTTGTAAAGAATACAAAACATATCCTCTTGTACGACCTTTAAATTAATAGAGGAAAGTCCCCTATTATGAGATAGTTTCTAATATGAGATGACAGGCTTGCAACACCCAAATTCAATCACAAGTCTATTTTCGCAACGATCACACGATCTAACAATCAATTTTCCGCTAAACAGATTTCGCTCCAAGGGCAATAAATTTACAGTGGAAAACTGATCATGTCTATTAATTTAACAGAAACTCCGCTATCCCGTATTAGGATTCTATCTCGTAATAGGAGACTTTCCTCTATCTTCGAAAATAACCTTTTCGAAAAGTCTCTTGTCCCTCTTAAATTTTTTTCTGTGTAGTTATAATACTATTCTTTAAATGATTTATTACCATATCGTTCGCATCGTAATCTTTCACGGCAGTAATAAATCATAAACGCGCGCCACTTTTTTTCCTAAACCGTTGTATACACATCTTCATGTACAAAAATGTGCGTACGCAGACAAATGCGTTATATTAATACGGAAAAGTCTATTTTCTTTTTCTTTTTTACGAATGTAAACCGCGACAGTAAAGGTCTCCGTATGTTAATGCTTTCAAAACTCGCGTGATGCTGTACAATGTCATACTCTGACCCACGGGATTAAAGGTCAGTAAAGGTGAAAAAAAATTCGTTTTAGCGCCTCTCTCAGCGCGAATTTCCGACGAGTGCATCATCGAGCGCGCCCTTCGGCGAGTATCTATGTCATGGTGCTCAAAGTGTACGGGTGCACGGCGGAGAGAAATGCCACGAGGTTACGTCCGGGTACGCGCGACGTACGCGAGTCACTAAGGCGGCTCGTGTATTCAAAGTCCTCGGCTGTCGACTTTCGTACGCCGTTCAGAAAAGCGCAACAAGTCGGCGCCCCGGTAATCCCGCGATATCCCTTTGGCTCGCTTTGGAATTTCAAATGCTCGATGCTCAATCGCGCCATTTTTTTTTAAATTAGCGAAAGCGCAAATATAACGTAGCGATCCACCGAAATGCGCAGCTCGGCGATTAAATCCTTTGGCGCAGGATCGAAGCCGATCTCTCTCTCTCTCTCTCTCTCTCTCTCTCTCTCTCTCTCTCTCTCTCTCTCTCTCTCTCTCTCTCTCTCTAAAAAATCCCGAGCTGAAAGCCGGTATCCGCCGTAATGAGGAATGACGTCATTGGTAGCGAATGCCAATTCGTATTCGAGTTTAGATTGCCGCGCGGAGCGGCAAACTTTTGTGCGGCGCCAATCTGTCGCCAGAAATCAGCCTATCCGTTATTGTCTGCCTTCCATGTGTATCGTGCGTATTTTTAGATAATAGCCACACTTGGAAAGCAATTATGTCACGGACCAGACTCGCAATAAGACGTCACGAGAGACACGAGGAGCACCAGCTTTTAATCTCGAGCAGCTTTTATAGCAAATTCGGGCAGCTTGCACCAGTGCGCACCGAGTACACACTAACGCTTGTTCAGAGTCTACTCTTCTATTTACGGTCATCTCAAGTACATGTTCGAAAACTATTCAGCCAAGAAAAAAGATTCGTACGAATGCTACACAGAAGAAGTATTTCAAAAAGTATTTAAGGGGATCCCTCAGCCATCTCTTTTACCGACACAGTCAAATATAGTTTCTGCGCTTTTATGCGCAAGATAATGACACGATAAGTTGCAAAATTCTTCCGCACGATTGAAGCACGCATAGAGGCAAAACCAGGGACAGTCGACTTTATATAAAAAACAAACGAAGAGCAATTAAAAATATCACTAGTGCACTAGTGCAAGCTGCTGAACTTGCTATTAGAAACGCAACGTGAAGTCCACATACGCCGAACGATCGTTCGGACGCTGAATATCGAGCGTTAACGGCAAGAAGAAAGGATGACCCTCGATCAAAACTTTATTAGGATTGCCCGACGATTCGCAGCTGATCGAACATCGCGGATGAAAGGAGTTGACGGAGAAACGAAAGGAGGCGCCGCCGAGGGTTCTAGAACGTCCCGCATATACGGCCGAGAAAGCTGGCTTCGATTTAGCGAAGGTCGTGGTGTCTCGGACGCGAACCGTGAAGTCCGAACTGAACTTCGGACTTGCATCAAACTGCTGAAATTAGTTCTGATTGAGTGTTACACGCGGGAATTGATTAGATAAAGTAACGACGATGAAATGCGTTTCCGGCGCGTCTCTTCCGCACCACTTGCCGAGGATTATCTCAGCGCTGATAACCGCGAGTGCCCGAAAACGCCAGCTTTCCCCCCCCCCCCAAGCTGCAGTTCCCTTTATTCGGCCCCCATAACCGACGATGCTTCGTGGCAACAAAGCGAGGGCTGTCATATCTGTCAGATGCGCTGCGCACAATCAAGATCATGGATATACCTTTGACGCCGGCACAAAGTAAACCTGTCATTCTCGCTTATTGACAGTGCTGTAACGCGGAAGAACGCGGCGTTCTCGTCTATTCTCGGTGGAAAGTGCCCCCCCCCCCCCGAGGATTGGCCTATATTTTTCACAAAACCGAGTCACTCGAGTTACGATCTCACGACCCCTGAAAATTTTCGACCTCGGTCTAAGACGAATTTCAGCGATCGCTTTCCTCAGCTTTCTTCAGTTCGCGATGCCGTTGTTTCGTGCGCTCCTTTCAAAATAACAAGTGGGTTTCGCCGACGAATTAGCAGTCCTAGCTCGCTTGTGAGACAACGACTTGAGCGAGACGACCTCGCACGCTGGTCGTGTGTCATAAACAGAAGGGTTACTCACGTAAACCACTGTATTATTACTCGCTTGTTCCCGCACGACCCGCGAAAGTAATACGAGCGAGCGAATCTTCTTCAACCGGCACGCACCTCCTTTGGAAACTCTGATACGACAACAGAGAGAAAGCACTCGTAGCGATTTGGAACGCACACCGGATACGCGATCGTCGCAGCTCCGCGCAGGTATTGTTCCCTTAACGTGTTGAGCGCGCGGTAATGTGAAGCAAGGTCGCTTCGTAAAACAAGTCTATCTCGTAAACAAGCATGTACGATGACAAGTCACTTTTTCGGCGCTTTAACTTCCAAGATCTGTAACATCGACTGCTCTGGAAGCGGGTTCAATGAGCGACGCGCGTTTCCCAGATCGACGCTCTTCGGCGGGCCGCGTAAGACGCAATAACGACGAAGAAGCTGGGTAGCCCACGGATCCGCAGGTGCAACGCAGACAAATGCGTTTGCCAGAGGGCCGCGTAAGCGTAGCAGCTCTCGCAACAAAGGAGCGCGAGGGTATATCTACCTTTAAAAAAAAAAAAGAATACACGTCCGACTGAACAGGTAGCACAGCGTTGGACTGGTCGCGCGCTCGAAGAGACCCGTAGCTGATGAGGGACACCAGCGAACTGAGGCCCGCGCGAGTGAAAGGCGGAGGAACGGCTGGACTGGTGGTGGCAGCAGCGGCAGCAACGGCAGCAACAGCAACCGCAACTGCTGCAGCAGCGGCAGCAGCAATACCAGCAGCAATGTACCAGCGACACTCGGGGGGTGTAGGAGGGCAAAGCCAGTACGAAGCCCTCTACTACCGCTACTACTGCCGCTACCACCACCACCACCACCGGCGTCGCCCGCTACCATTAGCGGACGTAATCCTGGACCGTGGACGTAGATCGTGTGCGCGCATCCTCCTCGACTTTGTCTTTCTTATTCCCCTCCGCTCCGCCTATCGCGCGCGCGCAGGGTAGTGAATGCTCTGATGCTTTCTATGACGTCACGTGGAAGAAAGCGGGGGCGGCTCTGAATGAAGATCGTAGTTTGCGAGGGTAGATCCGACTCGGCTCTCTCTTTCTCTCTTTTCTCTCTCTTGGATACAGGGTGTCTCAGACGTGTCTCAGCTCGCGGGAGTCGATGGTTAGGGATTAAGGGGATGCTGGAGTGATTCTGCACTTTCGCACCTTTTGCACTTCAAACTGTCTGTTTCGTGGAAAGATTTGTGTAATACACAAATTAAATGGCTTACGTGTACAGATGATCGAAAGCAACTTGCGTATGGCGGAACGCGAGGCAATATGTGACATTAACTTATCTCGACTCGAGCGCGTTGGAATACAACACTTTTCCACGGGCGCGTGCCATTTGTCAAAATTAAAATGCAAACCCATCTTTCCGCGAGATATCAGAGAAACGTTTTTCCCGTAGTGACTCGCGAACGTTCTCGAGTTTTGCGCGCTGGAAAGAAAAGATCTTCGAAGATGAGAGGTTCAAGTCGCCCCTTTCTCCAACACTTCTCGACATGCTGTTAGATTCGCGAGGCGACTTCCCGCGAAACAATCCAATCCCACATAACATCTTACCGAAACGAAACCGAGACGCAGTTCTTCATTCCGGCGGATAAAGGTACATCAGCGGATTGAATTGCTCCGCGACTCGGAAGGAACTTGGCGGAACTCTCTCTATCTCTCTCCCTGTCTCCGTTTCTCTCCGTCGGTCGCCAAGTGCCAAAGACAGAAATACGGGCGGTACGTCCGGAACACCCGGTGTGCACCTCGGTACGACGTACGAACGCGGGAGGGATACGCGTCACGGAGAGATAGATATACGTTATACGTGTATATATTTGGACGCCCACGCGCCTCGCGTCGGAGGGAGAGATGGCCTGGACCAGGGAGGCGGCGACTCGCCAAGTAGTATCGATTTTGCCCGACACCCGCAGCAGTCGTCAACCTACGTCAAAACCGGCTCGGGGGGGTGGGGAGTGGCGGTGCGCGTTTACGTTACGCCGCTTGCGTTATTTCGCGCTATTTCGCCGTAACGAAACTGCCCTTGCCCCCGATCCACCCCAACCGCG